TCAAAACTTTTCCAAATTAATTCCCAAGGATCTTAAGTCACATGGCCAGGCAACACCACAGCAATGACCCCACTCTCCTGGTGCCAATTTTGTTGTAGTCAGGGTTTGCAAAGGAAAACAATTGAATACAGGATACATAATTTATAAGATTATTTTACAGTCGTCACTCAAAGAGTCAAGTACAAGAGTACAGGAAATCCGTCCACACACTAAACACCCAAAGAATCTAGCTGATGGCCTGGATCCCATGGCAATGTCCTGCATAAGTCTATCTGGAGACCTAGATTCCATTACAATGCCCCGGGTCCAACTGGAGGCCAAGAGCCCATAATGTCTCATGCATGCCTGTTTCAAGGATCTGTGCTGGGAAGGCCCCAAGATCAGTAGTAGAAGCTAGAAATGATCATACTTCCAAAACTAATACACAGATTTAATGCAATCTCCATCAAAATACCAATAGAATTTCTCACAAAACTAGAAAAAACAATTCCAAAACCCATTAGACCAGAAGAGACCTAGAAGAGCAAAAGCAATCCAATGCAATAAAGGTAAAGCAGGAGACATCACACTCCTGGATTTCAAGTTATATTACAAAGCTACAGTGATAAAACAACAACATGATAGTGGCACAAAAATAACACGTAGATCAACGAAACAGAACAAAGGATGTAGAAACAACCCCAAGGACATTCAACTATATAATCTTTGACAAGGGGACCAAAAACACACGGAGAAATGGTAGACTATAACAAATGGGAGAACTGGCTATCCACATGATGAAGTCTGACTCTAGACTCATATCTCTCATCACATACTAAACTAAAATCAAAATGGATCCAAGATGTAAATATTAAAACAGAAATTCTTAACCTGATGGAAGATAAAATAGGTAAATCTCTTGAAGACATAGGCACAGGTAAAAAATTTCTGAACAGAACCCCAAATGTAAAAAAAAAAGTCAAGAATCACCCAATGGGACTATATCAAATTAAAAAGCTTGTGCAGAGCAAAGGAAACAACCAACAGTGAAAAGACAACCTACAGAATGGGAAAAAAATTTTGTCAGCTATGCCTCAAATGGAGGACTAATACCTAGAATATATAAAGAACTAAAAAATTAACCCCCCCCAAATAAAAAGACCAAATCAAAAACTGAGCAACTGAAATGAACAGACACTTCTCAGAAGAAGCAATACAAACAGCCAATAACTACATTGAAAAAAAATGTTCAATACTGCTGGCCATTAAAGAGATGTAAATTAAAACAAGAAATCACATTAAGAAAGAATGGCTATCATCAAGAAATCAAAACAAATGTTGCCAAGGCTCTGAGGAAAAAGAAACCTTTCTACATTATTGGTTGGAATGTAAGCTACTATAACCACTATGGAAATTTCTCAAAAATCTAAAATTAGAAATTCCATTTGTCCCAGATACTCCCTTTCTAGATATCTTCCTACAAGAGTTAAAGATATCATATTACAGTGATACAGTACATGCATACCTATGTTTACAGCAGCATAATTTCTAATATCAAAATCCTGGAAGCAGTTTATATGTCCGTCCACAGATGAAAGGATAAAAAAATTTGATCTTTATGCATAATGGAGTACTACTCCACTATAAAGGAGAATAACACTTGAGTCATTTGTAGAAAAATGGATGCATGTTGAGACCTTAATGTTAACTGAAATAAATCATACACAGTACCTGAAATATCACCCGGTTTGTCTTGCAAACCATGAGAAACCCAAAGTATAAATAGGTATTTATGAGAAACCCAAAGTATAGATAAATTACAGAGCAAAATAAATGAGAGGTAAGAGAAAACAGAGAGGTCTTTTGCAAAAGGGAAGCAGACCAAGAGACGGAGGGAGAAGGGAGTGGAGCAAAGAACACAAAAAGAATTAAGATGTTTTATGCATATGTGTCTAGTTCTCATGAAGAATTTAATTTTTCTCCAAACATGTATTAATAAAAATAAATAAATGAAATTGTTACTCTCGGGGCTGGAGATTTAGCTCAGCAGCAAAAGCGCCTGCCTGGCAAGCGCAAGGTCGTGAGTTCGGTTCCCGGTACCGGAGAAAAACCAAAAAAAAAAAAAAAAAAGAAAGAAATTGTTACTCTCTTGCTATTTAGGTGAAAGAATACCGCAGTACTTTATATCAGAATTGAGAATTAATTTTAATTATTACACGCTATTTTTACCTTACACATGAAATTCTCTTTTTTAATTCTATGACACAGAGATTCCCATTTTGCAGACAATGAACATAATGTCTAGAGAAGTTAAATAAATCGAAGGCGTAAAGTAAGCAGGTGTCAGAAGCAGGATTCAAAGCCAGACCTCATGAACTTAAACCAAATGTTTTTTCAAGAACTACAACCAGTACTCATTATCTGTAGATGAAATTTTACATTTGCTTTGAGTGACCCAAAGAAGAAATTTGCAAAAGGAGAAAATAGTGTACGATTCTAATTCCCCATAACTTTTAATGTAATTTTCAGATTTTAAAATTTACTTATTTTATCAGCTCTTGCACACATTCCTAGCTACAAATCAGTATAAAGTTTATTTATCATTTGCCTTACATATGTCACTAACACTATTAACTGATGAGACCTGTTCTGTTTACATAAACATTTTATTCATGAAGTCTGAAGCTACTACTCCCATGTTATTCTTCACATATTAAGCACAATTCCTTGTCTTGTAAAATTACCTACAGTTGTTGGATTATTTTCTGATTGCCACTGATATATGTGGGAAACAGGATTTTTTTCCCCAGGTAACATACAGTGTTAGATTTGCTTTTCTGATTCACACAAGTACAACAGCTTTACATTACAGAAACTTTTATTACCACAAAGAATGTAGTCATTATGTATCTCTAAATTGTACCAATAAACTTAATAAAAAAACCAAACTTTTAAAAATGTAGCATGGAGAAAAAAGTCTGTTCATCTTTCTATTTTTACTACAAAAAAGGATTTAAAAGTATATACATGTGTCTATAAATCAAATCTATATTATGGGGAGGTAAGGAAGAACAAAGAAAAGGAAGAAACAGTGCAAGTGTTTTTCTAACGACAAGTTTCCAAGTTAGTATTCACAAATGAGAAAATGTTATCCATAATTTCTGTTCCATTTTTTTTGTTCAATTAGCTATTATACCTATATTTAAATTTACTGTCAGCTTTAAGCTTAAAACTGGAAGTATACTTCAGAATTACTCTTTTTCAGAAAAACATTTCATTATATACACAGAAAAATTTCAAGTTCTAATAGATCACAGCGTCATTATTTCTTTTTCCAGTACTTACTTTGGGACTTCCATGGTAATAATGCTATCACTCATGACACAAGTCCTTTTCAGGGATCAATGTTACCTTCTCCAAAACACCTAAATGTGGTTACATCAAAAAACAACTACACTGCCCCTCAAAAGAAATCTCAGCTAGTGTTTTTACCAGAGAAACAAAAATATCTGTAATGCACTGCAAAAAGCCTTGAAACAATAAATTAACCACTTTTCACAGTCCTTTAAATGTTTTTAGAAAACTTCAAGAGACCAGTTAAATAACATGTCACAGTCACTAACCAAAGGAAAACTTACTTTCTATGGTGCAATACTTTGGCCACAATACCGCTTCACAATAAAGCACACAGAAAGCCAGAAACACCTAACCAGAGACCCCAGTGTAGCCAAATTTATAAACTAGGGTGTTATGGACTGCGTCTAGAGGTCCCTCCAAAGCCTCATGGGGTCATAGGTGGGGCTTTTTCAGGGGTGTCTGGGTCTAGAGTATGTGATGCTAGGATTAAGGGTGTGTGATTACTAAATTAGTCCACTGACTGGCTTGGTACAGTTCTGGGTAGGATTAAGGGTGTCTCACCCTAGCGTGAGTGCCACCTAAGAGCAGGTAGCCTGGATAATACATAAGGGACAGAAAGAGGGCTAGTGCGGTCACTTGTTGCTTGCTGCTGGTAGTTTGTCGCCTTGCTGACTTTCGCCTGCCCTGATCCAACAAGAACTGTTTCTCCGCTGTGAGGCCCCTCTGCCATGCTACCCTACCTTGGACCCAGCTGGCTATGACCTGAAACCGCTACAAACTGTAAGATGAATAACCTTTCCTCCTTCAACTTTGGGTGTCAGGTATTTTGGCTCAGCGACGAAAAGACTAAGACATGGGGTATCCCACGCCTCAGGCTTCTCACTTGTAAAGTTAATGGAATTAGTCACTCAGCTAAATACCTACTGTGCACCAAATCCCGTGTTACCAATGGAAGTTTCTTATTTGCTTTTTGAGTAAATAAACCCATGTTCCTAATTTTGTGGAGATATAAATAAATGCAACATGATTACTGCTTTGAACGAAACAAACACTTGGGCAAATTGAGAGAGCTTGCAAAGGGGGTAATCAGTGGAGCACAGAATTGAAGAACGAGCGGCTGAGAGATGGGAATTCTAGGTTCCGCCTTAACGAAAGAACACACGGTGTGCACACAAGAAAACAAGACGAGAGAGGGTTAGTGCAGATGACGTACAGGCTTGTACATGAAATCTGACCTTTAAGTAGCGATAAGCCGCTTAAACATTGCCCGTAAAGCTCCTTTTACACTAACACTTTGGAAACTGGCTGCAGGTCCAATCTGATGAATTTAATTCTTAGTTGTTAGTCTCCTCAAGCAAACAAAGCAAAACAAAACAAAACTATCCAAGTTTCAATGCTGATACGAAACCTAAAAGACCTCTCTTAACTGATAATTTTTAGGACATCTACTAATATGCCAGTAGTAAAGCATTCTAAAAGCCAGACATGACAAGTGATTTACTTCTGCTTTTTATCAAATACAAACTGAACGTATAAGGTGTGAAAATTATAAACAGATACTCAATTTGTAAGCCCCCCAAAATACTTTTTCATACTTGAATCAAGTAAAGCTTTACTCTGAGAACCAATCACCTGGAAGAAAGGGAATATTAAGTCCCATTTACCTGTGCTCTGCAGGAACAGGAGGCGGCCAGACAGCAGGGTCTCTAAGTGGTTCATCTTGACAGGATACAGGGAAATCTGGGGGCTTGTCGATTTTAAAACTTTCTAACGTGTTGACAATACTTTTAACTTGTTCATATTCTTCTAATAATTCTTGCCGAACCTTAAAAAAAATAGCCTTTATGCTACAATTGTTTAAAGTTCATATAAATTGTAAATAGATACAAAAAGGCAAGTTTTCTTAAGGTCAAAGTATGCAAAAATGTGTCATTAAATCATACAAACATAAAAATACTAGAGACTTTATAGTCTTTATAGAGTAGAAACTGATTTGAAAAAGACATTATCTTTTCATAACAAATTATATATATTTTCCAAAATGGAACTCTATTTTACCTATAATGATAATCAATACAATTTAATCAATACAATTTAAATAACCATTCCCAGAAATCTATAGTTTTGCCAAATCTTTTTAACAAATTTGCAGATTCCAAAAACTCGTCAGCCAAAATTTCCTCCAGCATTTACTATCCCTATATCACTAAATATGAAATGCTTGTTCCAAGTGTCTAAAAGCCTGAAGCAGTATAATACCATAAACTACAGACTTCTGGTTTTCATGTAAATTTTTTCCCTATAATCTGATTCTTTCTGACTTGGTTTAAATTTTTTTTTTTTTGTCTTTTTGAGGCAGGGTCTTACTCTGCACTTAAGGCTAGCCTTGAGCTCACCTTGTAGCCCAGGCTGGCCCCGAACTTGCACCAATCCTCCTGCCTCAGCCTCTGAGTCTGGGAGTATAGGCATATGCCACCATGTCTGGCACGGTTTAAATTCTTTTAAGCACTAGGTAAAGTTTCTTTTGAGCTCAAGACAATATTTTTTTCTATGTTTAAAAAGCCTATCTGGCATCTTCCTCTGGAAAATACCAAATGGTAGATGACACAGGTGAAGGGGGAGGCCGAGGAGGCCCTGGAGCCCCTGCAGGCCAGGAATAGGAGGGGTGGCAGCTTCTGAGGAGGCTTTGGAAATAGCCTTCAAGGTCAGGGAGGCCACCAGGCTCACAGTGGTAAGGCCGAGGACAAGGAGTAGATTCTTGTCACCAAGCTGGGCCGGCTGGTGAAGGACATGAAGATCAAGTTCCTAAAGGAAATTTATCTCTTCTCCTTGCCCATCAAGGTGTCTGAGATTATTGACTTTCCTGGCCACACCTCTAAGGATGAAGCTCTGAAGATCATGTCTGCACAAAGCAAATTGGTGCTGGCCAGCAGGCCAGGTTCAGGACATTTGTCCCCACTGGAGACTACAATGATCTGGATGTAAAGTGCTCCGAGGAGATAGCCACTGCCACTTGAGGGACGATCATCCTGGCCAAGCTCCCCATTGTCCCTGTGCACACAGACTACAGTGGTAATGAGATCAGCAAGCCCCATACTGTCCCGTGCCAGCTAACAGATGCTATGGCTCTATACTGGTGCATCTGACCTTGCCCCAGAGGCACTGGTGTCATCTCAGCCCATGCCCAAGAAGCTGGGACAGTACTGATGAGTGCTGTGCTCTGCCAGGGACGGCACTGCCACTCTGGGCAACTCTGCCAAGGCCACCCTTGATGCCACCTCCAAGACCTACCTCTGAGAAGAGACTGTGTCCACCAAGTTTCCTTACCAGGAATCCCCTGACCAACCTGTGAAACCCCTACCAGTCTCTGTCCAGAGAATTCAAGTTCCAGCAGTGGCCACAACATAGGGGTTTTATACAAGAAGTATAAATGAATGAAATCTATCCAAAAAAAACCCCATCTGAATAGGTACTATGTGGAAATTATTGTGTTTCCAGATTCTGGACTCAAATTATCGAGAGTAAACAGATAAAGACTGAAAATTATATTTATAAATTCATTTTAACCATTTTATTTCTTTTTAATCAAAAAGCATATTTTACTACATAGCAGAATGTAAGAAATTTTCTTGTCTTGACCTTAAATACAGTGAAAAGAACATATGCAGAAGTTACAGAATCAAAGAAAAACCTAGGTAAAATTCAACTGTTAATATAAGCAATTATGTAATATACTAAACTAGGAGAAATGAAATTTGAGAATTGAAAGAAATACAATGAAATATATGAACAGAAATGGTCACCATCTAGCATGCACATGCACACACACACACACACACGCACACACACACACACACCTGCCTACTGGTAGTACAAAGAACAGAAGAATTAAAATTTCAGTTTGACTTAAGGCAAGTATGGTGTTCTCATTCTCACTTGGTAACACAAGCTGGAAAAGAAACCAAATTTACTCTCAAAACTTGGTAAAGCCCTAATTTCTGGAAAAATTTGAAGAAATACTTAAAAGCATTAACACATAAGATGGCAACTTCAAAGAAATGCTCGACTTTGTATTTTTAATTTTAAAAAGATTTTAAGTTTTAACAATAATTGAGGAAATTATAATTCAAGTTATTAACTGTACTATTATATATTCAAGTATGGTCAGAAGACAGCAAATGGATTAATGCTTTTTATTAGATTACTGACTCATTTGTATTTGTACAGAGCCTTTTAAAAAAAAAAAGTGTGCTGAAATGGGCCAAAATTACATGTAAAAAATGAAGAAAGGGTAAGCAGAAACGCTCTGTTTCAAATCGAACACACATGTGTAAATTGCTTCTCTCGTGTGAGAAACCGAAAGTGTAAATAAGGACCAAAATGTATAATAGATATTGTGAAATAGGAGGAAAATGTTCAAATGGGAAGAGGAACTAAGGAGCGGGGAGGGGGAAAGAAGAGGGAAAAGAAAAAAATGATGAAAGAGAAAGAAAAAATGGAAACAAAGACTTTGTAAGTAAGAAAGGGGAGAGGGGTTGAAGGGATGGGAGGGGAACAGGAAAAGAAAGAATCAAGATATATCACATACAGGTACAAATTCCCTATGAGGAATGTGATCCTATGTATACCGAAAATGTACCAATAAACTGAATTTTAAAAAAAGAGAAATACTCTATTAAAAAATTAATAATTAGGAAACTGATTATGAATATTTAAAAAAACTAAATAGATTCAATTCAAATTAAACACCTACAAAATATACTTCACTGAATATATGATCAAAAATATATAACATATTAGGTAGTTAAGACAGGAAATTATTCAGAGTACACTTGAAATATATTTCAGTATGCAGACAAAGAAGAAGCACTTACAGCATCTCCAGCTAACTTTATAACTAACTTCTCAAGTATAACAGACTGCTGCTGCCTTCTGCTCATGTGCGCTTACCTGATGCCATCTGCCTTTGATAGCTGGGTCTCTCACTGACTGGCAATGTCTCTGAATCTGCTGTATCACCCCCTGGTAATACACCATTGATGAGTCGTAATTTCCCAGAAGAGCATATTCTCTTCCTTTCTTTGCATTTTCACAAATTTCAGCCAAGTTCATCTTTCAGAGACCTAAACATAAAATATGATTGGAAAAAAATTTTAGCACTAACTTTAAAATATTTTTTCTTTAAAATATCTGCTTAAAGCTGTTCTGAAAGCCAAAATAGTTATCTTTCCTTCTTTGAGGTTATCTAAAACCATCTTATAATACTGAACCAAGTGTCCAATTTGGGAAGCATAAAGTGGATCACAAAAGCACACCCAATGGCATACCAGGGAGAGCAGAACTAAACTATTTATACATATGTAAATTTGATACTAGTTTTCCTTGCTCATTTATAGTTACTACAAGCTGTAATAGTAAAAATGAATCTGCCTTGTTCTAGTCAATTTATTCTTAACAACATATAGAAATATGAACATCATATAAATATATAAATATGCTATAGTTTCCACTGAGGCCAGCTAAAATCATGAAAATTAATTTTCAGCAAGATTTGTTTCAGTCCTGAGAATAAAATGCTATACTTAAGGAACAAATTCTGAAGAACAATCTACAGCTGTCCATGCATCATTTATATTAATGTAATTGCCCCATATAATTGAAATCCCTGAAGACCTATGAATTAAACTACCTGAGTCCTCCCTGCACCTCAACTTGTAAACTTCTGGCTCTGCAAATAACTATCATTAATCTTTTCTTTCTATGAGGTGCTAAGAAGAATACCGTATGAACCTCTGATTTCCACCAAAACCCTTCAGGCCAGTAATTCTGGCTCTTCTCCAGATCTTCCAAAAGTCCCTTAGAATCATTCAAAGATTCTGTCCAAAGATAATTTCTTCCCAAGACTACAAATATAAGAAGGCAAATGGTACAGAAGATGATACCCTGGGGAAGAGTTCAAATTGCCTTACTCTTACTACTCGTTGGAACAGAGAACCAATGAATATATATATAGTAGAAAAAGTATTTCTCTATGCCTTCTTGAGAGAATTAAATTTTGATTTGGGTAACCTGCCTCTTCCTGACTCTGAATATCATATATATTCTTAAGGGCTTTAAGAATTCCCCCTCAAAATTAATTATAACTAGTTCTACACATTTCAACTGACTCAAGAACATTCTTGAAATAACTGTATTTTTACATATTATTTGCCACTTATGCAACTATAAGTTCCTTAAAGACAACATTATGTTACTTGACAATCACAGCTGCAGCAAATAGTACGCTACTGTTACTAAGAAATGTCAATGTACTAATAACAGTACTACTACTGTTAGTAAGAAATGTCAATGTTTCAGGGGGTTCTTCTACCCACAAAATTCAGGACGATCACAGAAAGTCTCATCTTCAAATCTAGAACATTAATATGAAGTAGTAGGGTTTTATTACAGTGACAAGCTGTAATTAATAATCCAATAGAAACAAAACTGCTCCATAAATAATTTTCTTCAAAAATCACTGTGAGACACAATTAGCACTAATTCTGCTGAGTGCAGGTACACCACCACGTAGGGTAAAAATATCTTAATGTACAGAAATGGTCAAATTTCTTCTATCAAGGGCCAGAGCAGTAAACATTTAAGGTTTTGCGAACCAGTAAACAAAACGGAGGCTATGATACAAGTACCTATATGATGAGACAAAAATTTCTGTAATTTTTATTGATGAAATTCAAACTGTTAGTGGCAACAACCAAATATAGCTTTCTGTAGGACAGGTTTCCCACTGAAAAGAATAGGACTGTTATTAGGTCTAATATTTCACTGAGGACTCAAAGTTAGTGTTCTCTACCATCAAAATTCACAAATGTTCCTATGTTATTAGTGCTGATCTTTAAGTACATATTACATATTTCATCTTTGAAAATGTCTTTTTTCAAAAACTATCATATATGCAAATACTACTATAATTTCCATTTAGCATATATTCATTGTTTGGGAGGTAATGAAAGAATTTATTCTTCTTTTAGTATTTGCCTTTTATCTTGTCGTTTAGTTGCAAATTAATCACTTTCATTTAAAGGCTAAGTAAAGGGAACTGGACTACAGAGTTAAATGGATTTTTTAATATGGAAATTTCCTGTGCATTTCCATCAGTGTCTGAAAAACGCTGCTGAAACTAGTTTTAGCTCAAAAAAATTAATCTACAGCAACTCTGGGTGGGAACAGAGATCACACTTCTCTAACTTTTGACAGCAAGGAAAGCTATGTAAAATAGCTCGATATTACACGTGACTCAATCATTAATTAGTTGGCACTAAAATAACTTTACCACAGTAATCTCTTCAATATAAGCACTGTTTCGTTTGGTAATTTTAGACTGAATCAAGAAACATTGTTGCATCTGCAGCAAAAACCTATTTCTAAAGCCATTCAGCTTTCAATAATAGTCATTCAGAAAAATTTCAATCTTAGCCATGAGCTTAAAAGTTTCCAATAAAGCCTTCACACTACTAAGCCATCAGCCTGATGTCTGGGGAGGATACTCAGTTTCCATCTCTGACCAAGCTACATGGAACTTCCAGTGGCTAAGTCCGTAAGAACAAATGCTAACATTTCTAGCTCCTTACCATATAACACATTCACATACTATCTGCAAAATGCTTAAGAAACAACAATGAGTATCACAGATTTTAAATATCTCATGCATAGTTTCACAGCTTTATTAGCTTATTTCCGTTCTGCGTAATTGTTACCATCATTGGCTCTAACCTGTTGTGGCAGGTTCTTCTTCAGGTGGAACAGAGCTAGTGTGTGCTTAATTTTTTTGCAAACACCCTTGTCTGTAGTTGTCCGGCACACACAGTTCGTTAACACTAATTCTTCAGTAACTCCAAACTCAGCATTGCCATTTCAAATAAACAACTGAGCAGTATTGGTAACATCTGCCAACTCATCAAGGGCCAAGGAAAACCTCTCAGAATCATCTGTCTTATTTTTTTTAATTGATTAATGATGTCCTCAACTCTTCATGCAACTGTTCATGCCAAAAGGCTAACACTTATTTTAAAAAATTTATTTTCTCCAGGCACAATTCTGTGCCTGCTGCAATCCCAAATGATTTAGTTAATTCACTATTGGTAAATGACTTCCTTGCTCGGCTAACAAATGAGCTACTCAGGAATTTACTCCGTGTGCTACCTCATTTCCATGTTTTTTATTCTGTGAAGAAACTCTACCCGAGTAAGTTTTCTAATGTTTCTAACCATTACCTTCCTGTAAGTTGGAAATACTGTAATGAATTCTTATTCCGGTAACGTGGATATAGCTTGTGTTTCCCTTCAGCCCCAACTATAGTGCCACTGCATAATACACAAAATGCTTTGTTATCTACTCACACTTCACTGAACTTTAAGAGTATGAACATTCCTAGACTTATCACTCTTTCCTTGTGACACTATGGATATGCATGACAAAAAATAAAGCAAAATGTACGGTACTAGTAGGCACTTGAAATGCTGATTGTAGCGCACCAAGCAGCAGTGCACAGCAATGAGAATGCCACACGTCCCTGGCACAACTACGCAACTGTGCGATTCTAACACAAAAGCAGCCATGGAGAATATGTAAACAATTAACTGTGGCTCTGCAGTACTCCAATAAAACTTTATTTATAGACATTAAAATCTGACTTTCATTTAATTTCCACATGTCACAAAATGCTCTCTTGATTTTTTCAACCATTTATAGAATGTGAAAATCATTCCTTGTTCATAGCCCACTCAGAAACAGCATGCTATACATATTTGACGCCTGGGCTGCAGTTTCCTGCTTATGGCTTCTATCTAGAATCCAGAGGAGAAGCAAATTAAAAGCAAAAGTAGCAGAAGGAAGAGTAAGGAAATAAATCAATGAAATAAAAAACAGAAAAACAAAGAAATTTCAATATGGCCAAAAATAAGTTCTTCAGAAAGATCAATAAAATGAATAAACCCTCTAGTAAGACTGGCCAGGAAAAAGAAAAACACTATCAAAATCAGAATTAGGGGCTGGGGATTTAGCTCAGTGGCACAGAGCCTGCCTGGCAAGCGCAAGGTCGTGAGTTCAATTCCCGGTACCGGAGAAAAAAAAAAAATTAATGATAAGCCCCATAAATAGCAAGAGATTCTAAAAAACAGTGCTGTAAAAGAATAAAAAAAAAAAAAAAAAACACCAAAAAATATATATATAAAATCAGAATTAAAGGAGGACTATCACTACAGATTTTAGGAATACTTAAAGCTTAACGAAATGAGCAACTGTCCAACATACCACAGCTTACTTAGCAGAAACAGACGCTGGGGTGTGGTGACACACACCTGTAATCCCAGAATTTGGGAGTCTGAGGCAAGAGAATTGCAAATTAGTGAGCTGAAGGCCAGTCCGGACTACACAGTGAGACCCTGTCTTGAAGAGGAGGAGAAGGAAGATGAGGAAGGGGAAACGGGAAGGAAGAGGAAGAAGATGAGAAAGGAGGAGAAGGGGTAGGAAGGAGGAAAGGAGAAACAGACAGTAATCTGAATTGTCCTATCAACTGATGAAACCTCCCCACCTTATCTCTCAACAAGTCACTCCATACCCAAATGGTTTCACTGGTGAATTATACCAAGTACTTAGGGAAGAAATGAAACCAACTCTAAACAAATTCTCCCAGAAAACAAAAGAAGCAGAAACACTCTTAACTTATACATAAGGTCAGAATTACCCTGACACTAAAACCAGACAAATACATTAAAAGAAAATGGCAGCTGGGTGTGGTGGCACAGGCCTGTAATCCCAGCACTCTGAAGGCTGAGGCAGGAGGATCACTGAGAGTTCGAGACCAGCCTGGGCTACAAAGTGAGCTCAAGGCCAGCCTGAACTGCAAAGCGAGACCCTGTCTCAAAAAGACAAAATAAATAAATAAATAAATAAATAAATAAATAAAAGAAATTTAAAAATAAAAGAAAATGGCATACCAGTATCTTTCATGAACACAGATACAAAAAAATTCAAATTTTAAATAATCAATCCAGTAATATATAAAAAGGATAATGCACTAAGACCCAGTGAGGTTTATCCCAAGAATTCAAGGTAGTTCACATTT